TAGCGGCACTACAGCGCTGCAAAGCAAAAACGCATAAAAATAAGAAAAAATTTGTCAGTGTGTGACCTTTTGATATATTCACGATGCCAGGGTAGGAAAGCAGGTCCAGAATGTGCACCTCCGCTCATCTCCGGTTTCGTATGCCACTGGGCAATTTTATCGTACTCGCCGCTTCGTTTAAGCCTTTCTAGTGCACTGTGGAAGCGCGTTCGTTCTTCGTTGCTTAGCTGTCGATACTCCTTACGCACAGCCATGCTCAGTTTCTGGCCATTCGGTAAGTAGCATCCCGAACTCGTTAATGATCCTTAATTCCTCAAAATTTGCATTCTTTATTGTCCAAGCAATTTTGCTTTTTACGCGGCATCCTGTTGTATCTCTTCTCAGAAATGTTAAACTTACCATGCAAGAATGGACAGAGGCAATTGAGATCCATACATTCCATAGCATTTTCGCGTTCCTCCATCATGCTTTTTATGCTACTTGCTGGTGTAGCCATAATGTTACGCTAAAATAATTGGTACTGATTCCGGAAAAATCAAATGTCTGAACAACATTTTACTAAAAGAAAATTTATTCATTCGACAGTTTATTATCCAAAAAGTATTTTCTGCAGCATGTAGATTCAGTGTTATTTCAAAAGGTTTGCAGTGTGCGACCATTTTCCGATAATTACTGATAGTTAAAAAACTGATCGCTTTATTTCTTTCTAAAAGAGCTTCATGTAGCCAGGCGTTGCAAAGAAAGCATTTTCAGTGCCACTGAGGAAATGCACTTAAAACAGTTATAAATTTGGTTCCAAAATTCCAAAATTTTTTGTAGCTACTATTGATTGCTAGATGCTTGTCTTTCTAACAGTCTACTTTTTTTTGAAAGTTCTCCAACTGACAGAACGGTAGAGAAAGGGTACTTGATGAAGATAAGCAGGAAGAGAAGGTCCATATAATTTTCACGGAAGTGTTTCATAGCAAAAACAGAATAATCTCAGTTTTTTGGAAGACATATAAAATCCTTATTGCTGTACAGTTCAGGATCGAAGGATCTGGCACAGCTGTGCCTGGCGCGAAAAAGCATAAAAGTAAGTAGAGAGGCGGGAGGAGGAGGAGCAAGGAGGAGGAGGATGAGGAAAAGCAGGAACGGGAAGAGAAGGAGCAGAGCATTTATGGAGAAACTAACATTTGATTTGGTATGTCCACTCCCCTGTAATTTAGATTCATGCTGAACAGGCGATGTTTCGGCAAGTTTGCTCGCTGAAGTTCTGGAAGTTGTCACTGGGCGAGCTGGTGGTGGAACTGACGCTGGTGCGGGTGCTCTGTGCATCAGACTGTTTGGACGCTGTTGTCCCGGCGGCCCAACTGTTTCCTGCTCCATTGCGTACAGATCTCGACCATTGGTACCAAACCTTGGTGGCGCTTGCAACGCAAACATCATCTCGTCGGGCAATCTGGCCTGGAATTCATCCTTTCGGTATTCATGTTCTCTTCGTGCAGATGATGATGCTGTCCGTGTAAATGTCTTCACGTTCGTTACTTGACCACCACGGGTTCTTGTTTGGCCTGAAAAGCATACTTTTGTTATTTTAGTTTTCTCTTAATTCGATGTTGTTATTGGGATGTTCCCCTCCCCTAAAGTGTTGGCGAAACAGCACTAATCCCTTCGTTCCTAAGGTATTTGTCGTTTTTCATGCTTAACTGTCCGAACAGCTTAAAAGATTTGACAGCTATGATCGAGAAAAACAGGATAGACAACTGCTCGCAATCGCTCTCTTGCTCTCACTAAAATTTATGGGTTTTGAAAAAGGCTTAAAAAATGATTTGTGTTTTGAGGATGGCCTTTGGCAGGCAAGTAGTCATTTTTTTATCCACAGAATATTTGCTGCGGAATGTTAATCATTTTTCTTCGGTGCAAAGGTTGCGGTAGCGATGCACGATGACGCATACACTTGGAGGAAAACAATTTGCTCGTTAAATGTTTTGAAAATAATTTGTTCGATTACCTGATCGACTCCAAGCTGAGAAAGAAGAACATGAAAAATTTTCAAATCGCTGCTTATTCCACTAGTCTTTTCACCCAACCTTCACCAAATTTCTTGTCGGCTACCGCTATTTTAAGAAGAGAAATTTGCGTAGGATCTAGGCAATTTGACTAGAGTTAGGGACTTTTTTGGTGCACTAACTGAGCGGCTCAAAATCGATTTCTTAACATCACTATTCAAAAAGTTTAAATTTTAAATTTTTACATCACTTTGAAAAATTTACAATCTTGCAGTGTTGATAAAATACACTTTTCTCCACATGTACGCAATAATCTTCAAAGATACCTTTTCAGACACTCCCAAAAAATCTCTACCTTACTGATTCCGAGTTTCTGAAAGGTGCTCAGCCTCACCCTTTTTTTACCCAATTTTTAATAGCCCAATTTTGAGAAGGCGAAACAAATGGCGAAATGGTCATTAGCTGGATATCAAACGATATAGCAATGGTCAAAGCAACTGAAACAATTGCTATCTCCACAGTTAGCGTCTCATGCTACCAACAACAGTTGATCAATGAAACAGCATATTATTCACTTTATCCATTTAAACTTAGGCTAGGTTTCACCAGGCTTGCCAGTGCGATCATGTATTTTTGCATCAGACTTGAAGTACTTAGACCGTTAACTGCATGAATGGTTTTTTCTTCACACCTACCTTTTGCGTTTAAATCATCGTAAATTTTTTATCTAGAAAGTGAACAATTTCTGTTTAACGGTCATTCTTTGAAAATGGCCTAGCTGTTCAGTGAGCATTTTCCCGCCAAAACTCTTATTTGCCCGTAAGCGAGAACCACGCATACCTGAAGCTTGAGTTTGAAATATTTAAGTTGTATATAAATATATTTAAGTTGTAGCTAAAAATATTTAAGTTGTAGTTTGAAATATTTGAGTTGATAATATTAAAAGAGAGGGTCGCATATCTTGTAGGCTCATAGTCCCAATGTTCCAGCCTTTTAGTTTTCTGGTTCTCGAATTGAAAGTAGGTGACAAAAAGTGCAAGCACACAGATACAGACACAGACAAACATACATACATACACACACAGCTTCGTGCCAATTTGCGTTTGCATGTATGCAAGAAAGCATAAAAATGCTCAACTCGCACACTGACCAGGTACTGAAGCAATTTCATATTGAATCTCGAAGGCCACTCGTTTGGGTTCACCATCAGCTTTGCTGACAGTGGAAGAGCTTTTCGGAAAACTGGACTGTGCTGGCCCCATTGGTTGGTGTGGCCTTTGCAGTGGACCAGTGCGTGATGAATAAGCTGACGACCACGAAGACCAGGAGGACCAGCTCGCAGAACTGCTGGACCAGCGAGATCGGCTGCTGGACCAGATTTTTGACGTGGAGCTCCATGATGACCAGCTTCGGGTCACTGCCGTAGAACGGTGATGTTGCTGAAATTTTCAGTAGTTTGGAAACATTATCAAAAATACCACCCAAATTTGAGGAATTTGAATAGCATAGCACCTACGGTTCTCTGACAGGCGAGTAAGTCAACAAGTAGCATTTGTCTGATACATTCTTTTTCATAGAATATGCATCAAGAGTTTGGGTAAGGGAAAAGAAATTTGAGTCAGAGTTGAATTCCACAACCATTATCAAGTTTTCTGAAAGAAACGCACAACAAAGATGGATAAAAGCAAACCCGAACAACAGAATCCCATCTGTGAAGCTGTGAACAGACAACCTCAAGCGCCTGGTTAGGTGCCTGTTTGCAGAACGCGAAACGAAGCTTGTATTGCGTACTTCTAGCAAATGCCAGAAGTGCTGTGAAAGTAGCCACAGATACCAGTTTATGCATTCTGCGCTCGTTTATGGTCCTGCAATTTTCTTAACACCACGGATTCATCTGACGAAAAGATTCTGCTCTGGAAACGAGTTATGGCTCAGATTACGTAGCATTCATTTTAAATAGTTCTTGAGTTTGAGCGGCGCGCTTCTGTCGAACACGCAGAGATTGTCGCGACCAGTGAGTCCAGAATTATTTATCATTTTAATTATGCATTTTTGCACCTTTCCGCAAATGCAAAGACGTATATTGGCAAATCCTCGATGTGCGTGTATGAGTGCGTGTTTGTATGTTCCATTTTTTGTCACTCACATCTAGCTTAACAACTGCAGAAGCTAGGAAGTAAGGACTTCATGGTGATGTTTCCAACCAAACGCAGTCGCAACAATCTTAAACCAACGTTCACATGTACCTGGATATAATTTTGGCAAAATTTTAAGACGAGTAGATTTTCCACTGCTTGGGTCATTAAGGCAATATTGTCTTTGGCTTGAGAAGTAACACAGCGAAGTTCTCCTGAGCAATAGTTCCGAAATGCTTCAGAGAGTAATGCTCGTTAGAAAACTATCAAAAATACAAGGTAGCCCAAGCTAGTGCAGGCGGCGTTGCCGGTGTGATCATATTTTCTTGCACTGGACTTGAAGTACTCAAGTTATGAATGATTGTTGCTTTACACCATTCCTTCAAGCTCACTAGCACAAATCATCGTAAATTTTGCGTTAAAAAAAATGAACAATTCCCACTTAACGGTCGTTCTTTGAAAATGAACTAGCTATTTAGTAAGCAGTTTTTCTGCCAAAATTTTTACATTTTACCGGCATGTAAGAACTGCGCATACCTGGAGACTGATTTTGAAATAATTAAGTTGTAACTGGGCAGGGAACATTACCTCTAAAAATTCAGCTTTCCAGCTTTTCTGATCTCCGAGTTAGTAATTTTCCTGCCAAAATTTTCACATGCCCGTAGAACCAAACATGCCAGGTGGCTAAGTTTTCGGGTAAGTTCATAACTCGGGGTTCTGAGATGCTAGAAAGCTGAAATCTTGGGGTAATGCTCCCCACCCAAGTGGGTATTAGTGGGCCCAAACTCAGCCCCCGGGTAAACGTGGTACCCACATACGGGCCCTCCAAATTTCTTTTCGTGTAAGTTGATAACTCAAGTACCTGAGAAAATAAAGGAATGCAATTTTAAGAGG